TACTGATTTCTTCAACAATGCTGGAGGGAATTTGTGAGGGACTGCACTGAATCTCTAGATTGCTTTGAGTATTATCATCATCTGAACAATATTAAATGTTCTAAACCACAAACACAGGATGCTTATCTTATTTATGTTATCTTATCTTCTTTATACTCCTACAGCAACATCTGTAGTTTTTCGTGTACAAATCTTTTGCTTCCTTAGTTGAATATATTCCTCGTTGTGATTCTTGATGCTGTTTTGAATGGAGTTTTCTTTTTTTCCTTTTTTAAAAGATTTTATTTATTTATTTGACAGAGATCACAAGTAGGCAGAGAGGCAGGCAGAGAGCGAGAGGAGGAAGCAGGCTCCCTGCTGAGCAGACAGCCTGATGCGGGGCTCGATCCCAGGACCCTGAGATCATGACCTGAGCCGAAGGCAGATGCTTAACCCACTGAGCCACCCAGACACCCCTTGGAGTTTTCTTAATCTCCTTTTCAGACTTTTTGTTAGAGTATGGAAATTCAAGAGATTTTAGTGTGTTGATCTTCTGTCCTGCAACTTTAATGCATTTATTAGCTTGAGATTGAGTGTGTGTCTTAGTAATCTTTAGAGTTTTCTGTAGATAAGATCATGTCATCTGTGAACAGAGATCGTGTTAGTTGCTTTCCAGTTTGGGTGTCTTTTATTTATTTTTCTTGCTCTATTACTTTAGCTAGAACTTCAAATGCAATGTTGAGTAGAAGAGGTTAAAGCTGGCATCCTTGCCTTGTTTCTGGTCTTAGGGAAGAGCTTTCCATCTTTCACCATTAAATATGAGGTTAGCTTTAGTTTTGAGACATTTTAGGAGAGACCAGAGTTACTCTGATCTTCTTAGTATATCTAACTATAGTTTTCCTGTTCCAAAGGGACTACTCAACAGGCTTATGGGATATGTATTTTTCTGGCTGAGAAGCAATCTCACTTGGTAAATACTTTCAAAGGTCATATTAAGGTGATAAAATGGGCATGTTTCTGTGATATTTTGGGCGCTCCAACAGCCATTAAATTTGAACTTTCAGGGGGAAAGTAGTGTGTTTCCCGGTGTTGAACACATCCCAGAGTTCCGGAGGCATACGAGGCAGGGCAAGCAGCAGGCACAGAGTGAGCTAGAAGGAGTGTGGGAAGCAGTGGCAGAAGGAGGTGTGGGGTAACGTGTTAATATGGGTACAGAGAGGGTCCTTAAACGGCCAGGAAGGCCCATACTCTGTGGCAAGAAGGGGGAGCCAGGAGGATGGGAGCACCTCTCCCAGGCCTGCCAGGATGTGGGCGAAGGGGGAAAAAACAGCATCCCAGGAAAGTGAGGCTTCAGACTGAAGAGGTGGGAAGATGTGTTTACAGAAGGGCCCAGAGCTGGGAAGCTGTCTATGCAGAGCCATCAGACCCTCGCGGGCTTTGGGGAGGCCCACAGGAGACAGCACAGAATGGTCCTGGCAGCCAGCCGTGATTGGTTGGTGTTTGTATGTCAGACTTCTCCAGAGAAACCGCACATATATGGCTCTGTACAGAAACTTACCTTAAGGAATTGGCTCGTGTGACTGTAGAGGCTGACAGATCTGGAGTTCGTGGGGCTGGCTGGCAGTTCGGGAACTCAGACAGGAGTTTGCTACAGTCTTGAGGTCAGATCCCTTCCCGGGGTGACCTCAGTCTTTGCTCTTATGCCTTCAACACATTGCACAAGGCCCGTGTCCATTATGGAAGGTTTCCCTTTACTCAAGTCCGTGATTTCAGATGTTAACTGCGCCTACAGAACACTTTTATTCATTTATTTATCTATTTATGGTTTTTTAATTGATTTTAGAGGGGGAGAGAGAGTGTGCGAGTGTGCATGCATAGCAGGGAGGGGCAGAGGGAGAGAGAGTTTCAAGCAGACTCTCTGCTCAACGTGGAGCCCGATGTGGGGTTCAATCTCACCACCCTGAGATCGCGACCGGAACTGAAACCACGAGTCGGATGCTTAACCGACTGTGCCTCCCAGGTGCCCCACGGAGGACTTTCAGAACAGCTTCTAGGTTGGTGTTGGATGAAATGGCTGGGCCTGCAGCCTGGACACATGGAGTTCGCCACCATGGGGGCGTGCAGGTGCACAGGGTTGGGAGCTGCTGGCCCTGCCGGAGGCTGGAGGGAGGTGACCCGCCACAGCTGTGCCCAGGCGGGGAGTGGAGTGCTCCCGCCATCTGGTTAGTGCTTCCACGGCTCCTGCCCTGTTCTTTCCAGCCCAGCAGCCCCTTAGGGAATGTTCTTCAGTTTCCGTCCAGGTGGCTTCAAGGATCCTACACACTTGCAGGAAACATAAGTAGTTGGGAGTAAATGTTACACGTTTAGGGTGCTTCTGTTCCTTTTAGCTAAAATGACAATTTAGTAGTGTTCTAATACCTTGGGTCTGAATTCGTTTTCTAGGACCACCAGAACCAAATAGTACGGACTGGGTGGCTCAAACAACAGAAATACATTTTCTCATGGCTCTGGAGACTGGAGTCTGAGACTGAGCTGTGGGCAGGGCTGTTCCCCCTCGAGGCCTCTGTCCTTGGTGATCAGACGTCTTTCTGCTCCCCGTATGTTCCCATGGTCTTCCGTCTGCGTGTCTGTGTTCTGATCTCCTCTTACACCAGATCAGGGCCCACACTAATGCCTCACTGGAACCCAGTCACCCCTTAAAGACCTCCCACCTCCAAATTCAGCCACATTCTGCGTCCTGGGTGTTAGGGCTTCAACTTCTGATTTTGGGGGAGGACCCAGGTCAGCCCATTACTGGGTCTTACCTTGATTTCTGTGCTGTTTCAGCAGATGAAATCAATATCCTGACTTTTGTCCCCCATCTGATCTTAGGTTTCCCGTGGGAAGCTTCTGTGAGTTTCTGATTTCTGAATTCTGAAGACTTCAAACTATCTGGAGGGAGCATTTCTGTGGGGGGTGGGGCATGGGGCCCCGATGGGCAGGTGCTGTTCCCTTCACAGCTGGGTGCTGCTCTCTGCACCCTGAATTCTGCACCGATCTGGAAGCTGCTGTTCTGCCTCCATGTTTGGCTCGTTCTTTCTGGGGGCTGTTGTCCATGTTTCTGGGATTTCATTTGGGCAGGTTGAGTTTTCTGCTGTATTGATTTGATGTGACCGCCCCCAGCATTCAGTTTATCTTGTCCTAGTCCCCCTCCTGCCTGTACTGTTTCTTCCATTCTCCTTTTTAATTTCGTGGAGAGAAATGAGCCCCTTTCTAAGTTGTCCTTATGTTTTTCATAGTAAAGCGACTCCCGGGAGATGAGCCCTTCCATGCCCTGAGCATAGGAGCAGAAAGTGTTTGCTCGGCTCCATTTCCTTGCTTCCTCATGGTAGGGGTTCTTGTTGCCTACCCTCTGCTGGGGACAGTGTAGGAGAGGTTGGGGGTCCTGCTGACCATGGACCCTGGACGTGGTGGGGCGGCCGCCGTCCTGGAGTCATTTTGTTTTCTTCCTGCTCTAACAGGCTGTCACGGATGACCACTCAGAGTCCCCTTTGTGAACGCTGCCCTGCTTGGATCCAGATGCTGAGAGCCTGGTGAGGTGGGGGCAGCGTCCACTCTTGGCGTGGGCGTTGGGGCACAGTGAACGCACAGTTTACCTGGTGGGGAGCAAGACTGGGAAGGATCATTTACAATTCTGTGTGGCCAATGAAAAGATGAATATAAGCCCAGCGTGGGGCCAGGAGCCCAGAAGGGACACGGACGGAGCCATCTTGGAGCAGCAATGATTGGCGAGAGGCAGTCTGGGGGGACTTGCTGGAGGAGGTGATTCCTGAGCTCAGTCCTGCAGGGTATAGTGCGTTTGCTGGTGGTGGAGCTGGAGCCGACAGTTGGAAGGACAGAGGCTCAAGAAAGCCTCTCGTGGCCCATAGTTATGAATTATTCAGGGTGTCTGGACCCCATATGGAGGAAGCAAGGGTGCAGGACGTGAACCTCTGGGAGTGATTATGATGGGGAGCGTTCGTTGCCTTTCCTGAAAATGTTTTCATGACTGATGACCCTGTTCCTGGAATCCACACCCCGCTCTCTGCTTGCTGCTGAGATTTCGAAGGAAAGATGGGTCTCAGAGAAGCTTGCTTCATGGAAGTTTGGCGGAGCGTTCCTTTTTTTGTCTGTGTGTTCAGAGGCACAGGGAAGACCCATCCCAAGTCCAGGCCAAGGCACCGGTCGCCCCTCACCCCTCGTCCCTCACCCCAGCCCCAGTCCTCTGCATCAGAAGGGAGGGGCCTGTGTCAGACTCAGCTGGGAAACTCGTCTGCTTCATAGGTGGCGAGCTGGTGGTTTGCTCTGTAGTAGAGTAAAACAGCAAAAGTCAGGATCTCTGTTTCCTGCTTATTAGGAGCTCCCTGGAAGAGCCAGTATGCCTTTTCACGTAGCTGCTGGTATTTGCAGCTCATGTAGAGGGCGGGAAAGTCTCCCGGGTCTTTGCAAGTCCATTTCTGGGAATGTTCTTCTCAGGGGTTGTACTCACAGAACCGGGGCCTTCAGGGAGAGCATAGAGCTGGCCGGGGGTCTTAGATGCCCCTGACAGTGGTCGATCTTGACTGTGGCCAGGGGACCCAGTGTGCACACAGGCAGCCCCCTGAGGACCCCAGCAGCACATACCCACCTCCCTTCCTCATCAGAATTGGGCTAAATCCATCATGGCCCAAGTATGATAAATCGTCAGGGTGTTAATATTTGTAACTAGGAAAGGAACCCAGGAGTCCCTGGGAGCTCCTGAGAAGGCATGTGGTCAGTGCCATGGGCCAGGTCCCCTTCAGTGGTCTGGGGGCCCTGGGACTATGTGGGCAGTTCCCCAGGGCTCCGTAGCTGGCTCCTGTCTCAGAAGAATGGCCAGTACCCCCGCGAGTGGAGATCCCAACCGAGCACCTGACCGCCCGAGGGGTGTCCCAGAGGCAACCCCCTTAGTCGCGCTGTTCTCGGACAAGTTGGGAGGAATAAATTTCTCTGCTTAGGCTTCTTACCGTCTGTCTCCGTTGCAGGTGCTGCAGAGCGGTCAGCGTAACGGGAAGGAGGAGCCGATGGCTTTAGCCGGCTGCCCAGATTCCTTCTTGCACCATCCTTACTACCAGGTATGGGGGGGCGTGGGCGGCTGCCACCTGCATGGGCAGTGGCTCAGGGCCACGGCGCAGACGGAGTTAGCGACCGAGACCCGCTCCATCGCTGGCCGTGGCTGTACTGGGGCTGCTGGCACGTCCCGCAGAGGAGCACATGTCTCCCACGGTTGTCTTCACTTGGTGCTGGGAGGCTTATCACCTGTCCTCTGTGTCCTGGCACCCTCCCTCTCCTTGAGGAGCTTGTCATTGTTGTGCGGCTTTGCCTGTGATGCGCGGGATGGGGTGTTCAGGTGTGGTTGTCTGCTGGGCCCCTGAGCTCAGATGGCAGGGGCCGTGGCGCCTTCGGGGACGTTCATGTGGGGGCACTGCATCCTGGGCAAGAAGTGGGGAGAGGGCAGGCTCTGGGCCCAGGCGCGGCCTGCCTTTCAGAGAGGGAGCCCCCGCCCCGAGACTGGCTCCTTCCCGCCCCGTCCACCCAGTAGCATCCGGTGGGGTTTGGTGCAGGGCACGGCACGTTCAGACCCGGCCCTCCAGGTTCTCAGGCTGCCCGGTGGGTCTCCCCTGGACACTTCCTTCATCTTCCGAACCAAGTTTGTGTTTGAACTTTTACTTGACCGTGTGCAGGGACACATCAGAAGGAATGCGCTAGCCAGGCTTGGTCCGTCTTTATTTTTCTTTTTTTAATTTATTCGAAAGGGAACAAGGGGAGGGGCAGAGGGAGAGGGAGAAGCAGACTCCCCGCTGAGCAGGGACACCCCCCACCCCCGATCTTGACCTGAGCCAAAGGCTTCAACAGCTGAGCCCCCGAATGCCCCAAGCTTGTCCATCTTTATGAGTCTTCAAACACTTCACGTACCTGTACCATCTCTCTCTCGGCCTCAGTGTCTCCCCAGCAGGGCTCCCAAGGTTTGGAAGTCCTTCCGTATGCTCTACCCTTGATCTGATGATGTTGTCTCCTCCCTTCATCTATAAAGTCTCTCTTTGGTAATAGCGATGAGAATTTCCTTGTGTGCCACGGCTGCAGAGAGATTTCCTTTTTAATTTTTTTGGCATCAAAGTGATGTGGACCTTCAAAGAGAGGCCGAAGGTTAGGAATTATTCATTGTAGCCGCTGAATTTGAGATGAGACCGAAGCCGGTCACCAACCAGAAGAGAGCGCCGGCACCCTAGCCGAAATGCGGAGCGTGCTGGGGACAGCGGGTCTGTTTTGTGGGTGATTTTGTGCAAGGCCCTCTGCCTTCTGCAGGGCTGATTTCTTGTTCTTAGAGGGCCTCACCCTGTTGACGAAAGCTCTGTGCTGTACCCGTGGCTCGTTCTCCCGTGGTCACTTAGCTTTGGTCAGGTGTCTGGGCCCAGACTGCGCCCATCGTCTATCCTGCTGCCTTACACTCCATACCGTCACTCCCACATGGAGGGGATGGATCAGTGCACCACAAGGGATACCGTCCCCGGGGGAGTGTCTGAACGTTGGTGGAGAAGTGTCTTCGCCAGCTGGTTACAGAGCGGACCTGGAGGGCAGACCTGATGGGCAGCACCGAGTCCCTCTCGCAACCTCCCCGTGCCCCCATCTTCAGTTTCCCGCAGGGCCACACAGAGATGGCAGCGCCGGGCGAAGGTCGCGCCTCAGCCCCCGGACAACTGTTGGTCTTGGCTGACTCAGGTGCCGGAGGCCGCTCTGCAGGAGCCAGGAAGCCGTGGGCGCACGGTAGTCAGCCCGGCGAGCCTCCGTCGTGCCTCCGTCGCCCCTGGAGGAAATGCTCAGTCGTGCCGTTCGGTGACGTTGGATGGCATGGTCCTCCTCCCGTAAAACCCAGCAGCCAGACTTGGCAGCTCACATCCGCCGTTCCTGGAAAATTGGATGACAGTTCCAGAATTTCTCAGAAAATGGGATGATTTACAGTGAGTTCCAGTCTTGAGCAATCTGCAATTATAGCAATTAGAGAAATCTCCCAAGTTGTACAGAATGTCTGAAGATCGTCAGCGACAAAGGGTTTTCTGATTCTAGCTGTTCACTTAGAGCTGGGCGCGGATTCGTGACAGGGTTTGGTCAATCCATTGCTGAGCTATAGAGCTTTTTATAGACACGGAGGCACCCAAATTAGCACGTGCATTAAATTATCCTGCTTTCCGCGGTAAGGGACTATGTGGAATGGGCATGACGGGCCCCAGGGCTGGTGAGATGGTGGCAAACAGCTTCCCTTTGAAGACGTAGCTTTTCCTTTAAAATATTATTATCATAGTTCTGTGGCCTTGGGGCGGGGGGGTCTTGTAACAGTCTTATGCCTCAGTTTCTCTTCTGGTAAGAAAGGGTTAATGGTGTCCAGGTTGTGTGGGGATCGGAGCAAATGCACAGAAATCGCCTGGCATGCGGGTGGCCGTGTCTTGGGCACCCAGCCCAGGGTACTTAAGTTTCATTCCTTGGTCATCAACTGGACCAGACACAGCATCAGAGTTAGGGTGACAGCTTTGCAAGAGGCAGGCAGATTCCCGGGGCTCATGAGTCCTCGTGGGGGAGGTGGACGTGGGATAGCTGGTAAATAAGATGATTGTGAATGAGGATAATAATTCGGAGGCAAATAAAACAGGCCAGCGGGAGAGAGAGGAGGTCAGGGAGGCCTCCCCGGAGGAGGCGTTAGGCCGAGGTAGCACCCAGGCAGGACTGGGCAGGGCTCTCTCTGCAGAGGACAGAGGAGGAAAAGCCTGGCCTGGGGAGGCTGGGGCAGAGGTGAGACTTTAGTCAACTAGGAATGGGAGTGGCCATAAATAGAGACCTGCAGCCCATCGTCTGCAATTTTAAAACCCCAGAAGGTCCAAACCAGGAAGAACTTTCATTTCTCACATCACAGCAGAACTTGACTTGACTCATCTCGAACCTGTGCCCTACAGGGGCCTCCCTGGGCGCTGTGTTCTCTCCGTCCAACCCGAAAAGTCCTTAATTCCCATCTCCCTCTGGCTTCTGGGGTTTCGAGGGTTACACACCTGTGAAGAGGTACATTTTATTTATTGGCTAAAAATGAAAGTGGCATTTATTATCCTTAAGAAAGGAATGCAAAAAAGTAGGAAGCGAGATAAGTTCAGGTAACACATGCGAATGGAACGTTGAACGGTGCTTTGGCAGTGAAATGCTCAAATGTAGACGTGATACAGGTTATCAAGCTTACTGTTGAATTTCCAAACACTGAGTATCGAGCTTTACTTTTCTGATTTTCATTCTTGATTCCTGAATCAAAAACACGTATACTTATGGGGCGCCTGGGTGGCTCAGTCCATGAAACCTCAGCCCTCGGTTCAGGGCACGATCCCAGGGTCCTGAGCTCCAGTCCCGCGTTGGGCTCCCGGCTCAGTGGGGGACCAGCTTCTCCCTCTGCCTCTGCTGATCGCCCTGCTTGTGTGCTCTCCTGCTGTCTCTCTGTCCAATAAATAAATAAATAAAATCTTCCAAAAGAAAAAAACCCACCTATGCTTGTCTTGGAAATCAGCATCTGAGAGAGGGTCCCTTTGACACCCCCCGCCGGGGAGCTGTCCCTGGCTCCTTCTCTGCCCCTGAGGGAATTCCTCAGTTCTGTCCCAGCCCCTTTGCTGCTTCTCTGGCTCCATTTCAGTCCCAAAGTCCCAAGCTTTCAGGCCAGGAACCTTCCTCTCCAGCTTGGGGGCTGGCAGACAGCAGCCATGGGCCGTCTGGCCCCATGCCTGCTTTTATAAATGAAGGCTTATGGGACCGGGGCCATGCTCATTTGTTTACATCTCCGCAGTGGCTGCCTTTGGGCTCAGCAGCCCAGTAGAGCAGCGTCTGGCCCTTTGCAAAGAAGCCGTTTGCCAACTGCTGTGTTAGGATACTGACTGCTCCACTGAGTGCTGTGGGCGGACAGAGGCCAGAGCAGGCCTCCTTGTCGCCTACTCGTGGTCAGGGCCAAGGGGACAAGATCAGAGCCTGAGCATGGGCCCTCACCTGCCAAGCACACACAGCTGGGGGGTTTCTGCCGGGCCTGCGGACCTCTGGGGACAACCAGATTCCTGCACCTTCTGGTGGTGTAGAGGAGCTGGGGGATGACATCAGTCCTGTAGTCTTGATTTGGGATCCGTCCTCAGAAATGAATTCCATTCCCAAAGCCCATCCCTGTTCTTTATCTTTTTAACCAGAGGTGGATCCTGTAGCCTCTTTGTTTTTATTCCTATGACCCTGTATCTTGGCAAAACGTCGTTTATATTGGACTCCATTTTCTTTTTCTTTTTTTTTTTTTAATATTTTATTTATTCATTTGACAGACAGAGATCACAAATAGGCAGAGAGGCAGGCAGAGAGGAGGGGAGGAAGCAGGCTCTCCGCTGAGCAGAGAGCCCGATGCGGGGCTCGATCCCAGGACCCTGAGATCATGACCTGAACCGAAGATAGAGGCTTAACCCACTGAGCCACCCAGGTGCCCCTGGACTCCATTTTCTTCCAGAACTTTGTGGCTGGTGACTTTGGCTCATTGTGGCTCTCACAGGCGGGCTGGAAGGATGCAGAAATCATTCATCCCATCCCTGTATTTGCTTCACGAGGCATCCCAGCTGATAGGATGTCTACCTAGAAGTGGTTTTGCAAATCACTTCAAGTTTCGATGCTGAACTTCCTAATAACCACTATTTTACAGGAGTCTTGTGAGGGAGAAGAGGGAATTTATACATGTAGAATGTACCCTACGCGAAATAAATTCCGTGTCCATGTCTTCTCTTTACAACGTCACCGTGAGAAATAGGGTCCCCGGCGCTGTGCTCCACGCATCCAAGACGGACAGGAAATGAGCCATCGCTTTGATGTGACTATGTGAGCTGCTCTCTGATTTCTTTGAGTGTAGATCTCGTCTCTAGAAGTAGAGTTTTTAGGTGGTTTTGGGATACCTAGGTTAGTTGGAGACTGCAGTCTTCCCAAGTCTTTGAAACCACTGCAGGACCGTCACATAAAAGTAGACAGCATTTGGTTTGGAAAAACCGTTTTCTCCGTGATCTGGTTCTCGCTCCTGGAACCTGAGGTG